CGCCTCGCCCTCCAGCTCCCCGCCCGCCCCTCCCGCCTCCGCGCCGCCTGCTCCGCCCGCCGCTCCGCCCGCCGCCCTGCCCAAGATCGGCCTCCCTCGCTGCCCTTGCCTCTGTACGGGCCTTGCCGTTGTCCGCCTCTACTTTCTCAGCTGCCTCCTTCTCTTTTTTGTCCTTCTTGGCCTTAGCAAGGTGTTCTTCGGCGGACAGGAGACCGCCCTCGGGCTTCCCCCCGCCCGCCCGAACGGTCGCGAAAGACTTCGAGCGCTTGGTGAGGCGGGTGAGCCCGCCGAGGAACACGGTGTTCACGCGGAGCCCCTCGATCATCACTTCCTGTCGATTCAGCTCGAGGAGGGCAGCGTGGCCGAGATCAACTTCGAACTGCTTCTTGGAGGCAACGACGGCGAGGTCTTCAGGGATAGGGCGGTCATTCTCCCGTTGCTTCCTCTTGCTGGGTAGTCGGTTGATGGCCTTCTCCATGTTCACCGGCCACAAGCCCGCCCTCTTGAACGCCGCCATGTTATTCGCAGGCGTGAAGCTCCCTCTCCATGCCTCCGCAATCACCCCAGCCATGTCGCGCTTCACCGGACTCCTCCCCCCGATTTTCAGTGGGTAGGCCGTGAGCACCCTGGTGAGCTCCTTGAAGGTTCCGAACGTACCAATGTCCAAGGGCTGGGTGATGTGCGATGTGTGGAACGGGAGCTGGAAGTGGTCGATGTCCAGAGAGATGGCCAAGCTGATGGCGTCGAAAGTCGTGTGCGAGGCGTGGCCGTCGAGCACAAGGGAACTTTGCCCTGCAAGCCACGTGCATCGAGCTATTCGCGGAGGTCTCGAAGGTAGTCGAGGAACACGTGGCTCTGGATGAAGGATGACTTCGTGACGGTGTACTTCGCATCGGGGACACCGTTCTTGTCCTGGATCCAAGCGGGTTGTATACGCTGGCCTTTGTAGATGATGATAGGGTTGTAGATGTCGCCGTCGGCGCCGATGCTGGTGACCACCGTCGTATTTTCTCGCGAGTTGGAGCGCCTCGCGCCGGGTACCTTGTGCCTGTTGGCACGATAGCCTTCTTCCCCGACTTTGTACCTTGCGGGGTGGAACCTACAACACATGTTGATTGGCCCCAAGACTAGTGCTACTGGATGAGCACGGCTGACCCGGTTGACAAACGTGAAGAGATGGTTAAGACGTTTTATTGGTTGTCCTTGTAGACACAACCCACGGAAGAGAGTGAGCACAGGGTGCATCACAAACACCGAGGCACTCGTGCAACAGCCGCAAGAAATTCCCCGCAGAAAAGACGCATTCGGAACTCGGAACACGCGACAGCGGAACACGTGACAACTTGTCAAAGATATGATCGGAGATACCCCGAAGATCCAAGATCGGTGAACAGCCACTACTTGCGCACTTGCATGTAGCTCAAAACCACGCATGAGTATCGCCACAGTAGCCTTCGTAAGGATGGCATAATCCACCTCACGAACACCCTCCCTGATTCTGTACATCGTTACGAATGCTCTCAAAACCAAAGTTTCCAAGGTGTACTTGTACTGTAGTAAACTCAAAAAGAAACAAAAACGAAGGGAAACCCCGCCCCAGGATCAAAACCCTCCGCCCCCAAGGTTCATCCTGCTGAATGACTTGTCCACACAAAAATCAACACAGCAGTCGCCAAAATTGCAAACCGACGCGTTTACAAATATCAGACATTTGTGCTACTCCTTTCCAAGTAGCCCCCTCCCAGCAACAGGATCCCAACTGTATCCGGCTACTGTTAGCACAGGGGTGCGCCTACAACCCCAAGCACCAATGTCAATTCGCAGCGTAAAAACGAATATCAACGCTACATCGCTCTAAATGACATATAAAAAAGGGCGATCAACCAAACGGAAGATCAAGCAGTATCTCAACCACACGCAGTTCATCAACCAACTTGCTGGTACGCTGCTGCGAGAAACACTGGTAACAGACATTTCTTTACTACCCCTTTACAAGTAGCTCCCTCCCAGCAACAGGATCCCATTCTGTATCAAGCTGCTGTCAGCACCGGGGTCCGTCTACAACCCCGAGCACCGTTGTCGATCCGTAACAGAAAAGCGAAAACCACCGCTACATTGTTCTCAGCTGAAGGACATGTAAGAGGGCAATCAATCACATCGCAGGGAAGGGTGCCCCCCTCTACCTGTGCATCAATGAAAGATCAAAGCAGTGTCTCAATCAAAACAGATCATCACCCAACTGTTGATACCTGCGAAAAAAATGAGAAGACACTGGTCGCCATCTATCACGAAAAAGCGTCATACCTCAGCCCTCCCTGACAGGCAAATAACCCGGCCTCAAGTCGGAAAAACAAAAGGCTGAGAAAATAATTCCGAACATCGTCAATCAAATTGGTGTGATCGCAGTGCCCCGCGGATCACCAGCCCTCAAAATGAGACAACAACGGAATGCCACACCATCCTCAGTATTTTATCGTGCACGAAGCTTCACGTTTCGATCTGCGCGACTTAGTTACTGAGATGAGCATGGTATACCGGATAAGCAACATCGAGTTTCGTGGACTGCTTTCTTATCCCGATCAAAACACAAGAAAAAACAAAACAGCGAGCGAATCGGAAAAATATTACACCAGAAAAATTCCCACATCATTGCACTTTCAACAGTCGCATTTTTCAGAAAACTGCACTTTACAGGAAAATGCCAACAAGCCGATTTGCACGCGACGCACGCACGGGGAGGGACGTTGATGCACCACGGGGAAAACAGATCAAGATATCATCAGAGTGCTTCGCATGCTACGTCCAACTCGACTGCGGTGACTGCAGTCTCAGTCTTACTATATTTCGATGGGCAGTACTTCGTGCTGTGCCCCTTT